GTGACCTCTCACAGAAACAAAGATCCGAATATCACATGTTCTCACCCATATAATGGACCTTGAACATCCAATGCAATACTATAAGAAAATGACTGATGGTACTGGGAAACTATGGGGGGGAGGGGGATGGGATTAACAGTAGCAAATATCTGTCAGGGGATGGGAAAACACTTCTTATCTACAGGGTGCCTGAATGAAACGTCATTGTACACCTAACCCTTAACTGTAACCCACAAAACCATAATAAAAAATACTGATTAATGAAAAAAAGAAAAAAAAGAAAAGGAGGTAGTATAAACAAACAAACAAAAAAAAAGGTGGTGACAGCTCTGCCTAGTGAAATGTACCGATGCTGGTCTAGTTTGCCAGATCTCCTGATTTTTCAAGATAAAGCAGAGATGATGAATGACCTATTTCTTCTTTTTTTCCTCTTCTTTTTTCCTTCCCTCTCTTGCTTCCTCCCTCCCTCCTTCCTTCCTTCCTTTTGCTCTTCTTTCCTGCTGGACCTGACTCATAACTTTCCAATTTTTCACATCTTTTTAGAAATTGCCACTGTAACCATCCTTTTGGAATGCACTACATATTGTCATAGATCTTATGCTATTATTGGTTTGTTTGTTTGTTTTCTCTTGCTCTGACTTTTCTATGTTCTCCCAAGGATTTGATGCCAGGACAGCTTCACCTGGGTGGTGAGAACTTGAAGAACTAGAAGCAACAGGAGCAGAGGTGGCAGTGGCAGTGGCAGCTGCAATGTCCAGCTCTGCTCACCCCCCCACTGGCATCTTGACCTGACTTGTATTTTTAATTTACTTTTCTTATGTCTACATTTAATCTCTCTAGAGATAAGGGTAAGTGCCCCTACGATAGAGAGGCTGTGTCTCCATGAGGCTGTATCTCCTAGAGCTGTAACTGCAGATCTGTTTGGAGCAGAAGCTCAACAAACACCAGTTCTCAATAGTTAGAGATGACAAAAGCCATTTTCACATAAGACCATTTCTATTCATGTTCAGAGTTCACAGCAAGATTACAGTGTAGAAGACAGTTAATGATTGAAAAAGATAGATTGAGGGAATTTTGTTTGATTCATGCAGGGTGAAGACTGAGGGCCAATGAGCCTTACACAAATTGAGAGTAAAAAAAAAAGAAAAAAATCTCATGGGAAGAGTCCTTGGGCCATGTATCTTCTAACTACCAAATGCAGAGACTTCCAAAAGACAGACTGTGTCCTCCCTGTGGCTGCTGGCACAGGAGAGAGTCACTGGGGTATGAAACCCAGACACATTTCACGAGAGTGGAGCACACACTCTTCAAGAGTCCCAGCTTTCAGCCAGGGTGCTCTCCAAGGGTCAACACTTACACCTCAACGTGCTCTTATCATCTTAAGAAGACAAATTCCAGAAAAAGTCTACTTGTCTAAAGGAAGGGTGCTAGTGAATCAGCATCAAATTTGCATTTCCTTCCTCTGCCTTGGAAGCAACAGTGAACCATCCATACCACGTAGTATCATTATTTCCAGAACACTTGGGAAAGGCATGTACATTATCCATGTACTGTCAGTGCAGTCTTCATAACAGAGCTCATATGAAGTTCTTCCTACCTTCCCAAGCAATGCCATTTATGTGACTTCACCAGATTCTCACCAATTCCAAGCCGAGATAAAACTAATCCCAATTTAACTGGAACTCAGAGATAGGCTGATTTGACCAATGTCATCCAGTGAGTCATTGTAAAGCCAGAATCAGAATTCAGATGCCTGGACTCCTGGAAAAATCTCAAGTTTTTCCTTTCTGGTCATGGTAAAGTAGCTATGATCACTGAAAACTACTTTAATTCCAGTAGATTCCAGGGTCCATCCAGTGCCCATCTTCAGTCGACTAATACCACTCAAGCAACTCTGAATACATTTCTTATAACAGTAGTGAGATCTCTCATTCACATGGTATTTCTTTTGTTCCAGATACTTCCGCTATCTCATTACATCCTTGCAGCAACATCATTTGTTGAGTACTATTGTCTTCCCAATTACTTCTGTATTTAAGATGAGAAAACTGATACCTGGACTTCTGTATTTAAGATGAGAAAACTGATGCCCAGAGAGTTAAGTGTCTTGCCTGAGGTCACATAGTAAGTGGGAGGGATTCCTTCTGTTGATTTCAGGTAGTCTGACTCCAAAATCCATGCTCTTAATCTCCATACCCTGCGAAATATTCCATGAGAAGGATGTGGCCTTTGAGACTCTTCATTAGCCAGGGTCTTTAGTGTCTGCATCCCAAGCATGATGGATGGGTTTGTATACCTAATTCTATAATCCATGAGATTATAAAGGGAACATGGAAATCTCCTTTTTTTTCAGAAAACAGATATTAGGGGGGTTGGGAGGTGCATGAATGAGATGCTTTTAACCCTTATCATTATAGATACCTGGAGTTGGGAAACAAGCTTAAAGGCCATCAAAGCCTATTTTCCCGATGGTGAAACTGAGTGCCAGAGAGGAGGGGAGAGAACTGCTGAAATTGTGCATTTACTTAGGGTCAGAACTAGGACACCTAGTTTTCATGCCACCTGACTTCCAGCTCTTACAAGGCACTGCTTTGCTCCAAGCGATGCATTATGCATTTCCAAATGGTGACACAGTTAAAATGATTTAACAGTTGTATATGTCATGTTATTTACCCTCTAGTGTATAAGTGACATGAGAGCAGAGACAGTCTCTGGCAGATTGCAGGCACTCAACACATTTGTTGGCTGACTCCTTTCTAGAAACTATGATAGCTTATCACTGATTAACTCTTGGTGTCTCTTTGTTAAACCTATTCTTTAATATATTCCCACCCAATCAGGTAGCAATGAATAATAAAAAAAATGCTTTTTCTGTAAGGGGCCATCCTCTCTGGCTTGGCAATCGGCCCATCCCTCAGGTGTCAGGAGCAGATGTCAGCTAACCCTTATTTAGTTGCCATAG